CTCTCTCTCTCTCTCTCTCTCTCTCTCTCTCTCTCTCTCTCTCTCTCTCTCTCTCTCTCTCTCTCTCTCTCTCTCTCTCTCTCTCTCTCTCTCTCTCTCTCTCTCTCTCTCTCTCTCTCTCTCTCTCTCTCTCTCTCTCTCTCTCTCTCTCTCTCTCTCTCTCTCTCTCTCTCTCTCTCTCTCTCTCTCTCTCTCTCTCTCTCTCTCTCTCTCTCTCTCTCTCTCTCTCTCTCTCTCTCTCTCTCTCTCTCTCTCTCTCTCTCTCTCTCTCTCTCTCTCTCTCTCTCTCTCTCTCTCTCTCTCTCTCTCTCTCTCTCTCTCTCTCTCTCTCTCTCTCTCTCTCTCTCTCTCTCTCTCTCTCTCTCTCTCTCTCTCTCTCTCTCTCTCTCTCTCTCTCTCTCTCTCTCTCTCTCTCTCTCTCTCTCTCTCTCTCTCTCTCTCTCTCTCTCTCTCTCTCTCTCTCTCTCTCTCTCTCTCTCTCTCTCTCTCTCTCTCTCTCTCTCTCTCTCTCTCTCTCTCTCTCTCTCTCTCTCTCTCTCTCTCTCTCTCTCTCTCTCTCTCTCTCTCTCTCTCTCTCTCTCTCTCTCTCTCTCTCTCTCTCTCTCTCTCTCTCTCTCTCTCTCTCTCTCTCTCTCTCTCTCTCTCTCTCTCTCTCTCTCTCTCTCTCTCTCTCTCTCTCTCTCTCTCTCTCTCTCTCTCTCTCTCTCTCTCTCTCTCTCTCTCTCTCTCTCTCTCTCTCTCTCTCTCTCTCTCTCTCTCTCTCTCTCTCTCTCTCTCTCTCTCTCTCTCTCTCTCTCTCTCTCTCTCTCTCTCTCTCTCTCTCTCTCTCTCTCTCTCTCTCTCTCTCTCTCTCTCTCTCTCTCTCTCTCTCTCTCTGCACGCTACAACCCGCCGTCGCAGACATTCACGGCCTTCTGCGTCGCGTTCCGCCGGGGGCCGCGCGGAGAGGATAACGAGCATAATGAGGAATAGAGAAAACAATGAGAGAGGAGAAGAAACGAAGTAAACGATGGTGAGACGAGGCGCGATCGGAGACGAGAGACGTACATTTTTTACGGGAGATCGCGTAATAAAACGAGAGAAATAGAGAGAGAGAGAGAGAAAGAGGGAGTGAAAGAGAGAGAGGAATCGATCTTCGGTACACACAGTACACAGGAGAGAAGAGGGAGAGAGAGAGATGAAAAGAGATAGACACTTACCGCTGTGGAGCGAGGTAGCGTCCGTTCGTCGTCGTCCGTTGGCGAAACGTCGTTGTCAGATTCGACGAGGAAGAGAGAAAAACAGAGAGCAATCTCCTCCGAGGGTGTCCCAGCACTCTCCCCGCGTTACGTTAACTCTCTTCGGTGGAAAGTAGTCACAGTCTCCAACACCACCGCGCGAGAAAAAAATCACTCATGAGCGAGAACAACCACCCTCCTCTTCCTTTTAGGCCGGCTATCCGCAGCGGCGAGCCGCCGCGGAGGTTGCGAGCTACTCGCAGACGGGAAGAGAGATAGAAAGAGAGAGGTGGCGAGAGAGAAACAGAGTCCTTTTCTGATAGGATTTCTTGTCTCACATTTCTTCTCGCGCGATGTTACTACATCCGGATTGAATGCAACACCGTTCGGCCAGCCCCGGTGTTGACGGTGGATGGCGATGTCGGGACGACGGCTACTACGACGATGACGACGGCAACAACGACGACGACGACGAAGACGACGACGATGACGACGATGATGACGACGACGACGACGACGACGACGAAAACTGGCAGCGGCGGGACCAAAACGGCGAGCGCAGGAAGAGAGAGAGAAGTAGGCCGGTTAACCGTTCAGGCCGCACTGAAGAGTCGAGCGAGCCGAGGGTTAGTGAGGGTGAACCGGCGGGCGGCCTGGCATCCCTCCTCTCGCATCCCCGACACGCACCCCGCCACCGGCAACGAACACCCTCAACCCTCTCGCCCGCCACCCCGTCGATCGCCCCGCTCTCGCTCCCGTTACGTCGCTTTACTCCAACCCGCTGGCACGACGAAGAGAGCCTGAAATTTAAAGCAGGATAGTTTATAGCACAATGGTAGTGTAATAATGCAAACAGTTACGTCTGTATAATGGTTAAGATCTTATGCTATCCTATCCGAACTATAATCTCTCTCTAAATGCTATATGAATTTACTCATTATAATGTAGAAATTAAGAAAGATAGGGGTATAATTTTTGTAACATAATAATGTAACAATATACAAACACGAGATATATAGATAATTTATATATTTAAATAAATATGAAATGTAAATATGTGAAAGAAAAAGAATTCGTAGTTTAATAATATAATATACACTGATTTGCTAAATGAGAAAGCGTAATTTTCCGCAATATTTTTCACTGATACGTTCGCGTATCTGAATATGACCGAGCCACTGTCGACAGTATTTCTCTGAAATATATAGTAACAAGCGAGATTTCCGCTTACGACGCATCCCTTTCTGATTTCCCTCGTTGATAATTTAATCCCTCCGGCATTTTTTTTACAAAATACAAAGAAGATGCGCGCGTGTGTATACTTCCCATCCATCTAATAAAAAAAATTAAAAATCTGCATTTTCAATCTCCGTGAACAATGTCATAGTCATATCGTTTAATCTCGACGGATGAAGAAATTGTCTTCAACTGATTTGCGTGCGTTACAAATTACAACAACAAGATATTTCCCAATCAAATCGCCAATCTAATCTTTCTCGACCAGCGAAGAATTCGAGAGGAATGGAGACGAGCGCGTCTCGAAACAAGATTAATCGTAATTAATTTCACGCCCCTCAAGCATAAACGAGAAGTAATCCCTCGTCCGAGATAACTGTGTCGTTAAGTTCATCATCCTTGAAGATCGAATCCGATTCCGAATGATTTTCCATAAACGACAAAGGAATGTACGCGACGACCGATGATACTCGATTTTTTCATTGATTGATAACCGTATGATACAGAGTCCGATATCGTCCGTCAAGATAAGAAATTTCAACATCCAGATCCGATACAACCGTCGACGATATATATAATGGTTGCGTTCGGGTAATTTTTTTAATTACGATTCGCCCGGCTCTCTTATCGTGCGTCGCAGGTCGTACAATAATCGCAAGAACTAGCAACGCAAACTTAACTTCCGAACGACTCGTAATGCGTAATTAGTGCAATATATAAAGGCCTCGCGAACGCAAATTACCTGCGAACAGTATCGAGTACAGGGAGTGGCCCAACGATTTTTGTGTCGATTCACGTGGTCAACGTTGCGAAAACATCACCGACAATCGTGTGATCGGTTATTCGCACTGATAATAACTCTCGCGATCGCGGCCAGTGATAACAACAGTGGCGGAGGTCTCTTCTTGACCTCCTTTCGAGGTAGCTAAACCGACTATATTTCCTATTTTCCGCAGAAAATCTGCATTTTCAATCTCCGTGAACAATGTCATAGTCATATCGTTTAATCTCGACGGATGAAGAAATTGTCTTCAACTGATTTGCGTGCGTTACAAATTACAACAACAAGATATTTCCCAATCAAATCGCCAATCTAATCTTTCTCGACCAGCGAAGAATTCGAGAGGAATGGAGACGAGCGCGTCTCGAAACAAGATTAATCGTAATTAATTTCACGCCCCTCAAGCATAAACGAGAAGTAATCCCTCGTCCGAGATAACTGTGTCGTTAAGTTCATCATCCTTGAAGATCGAATCCGATTCCGAATGATTTTCCATAAACGACAAAGGAATGTACGCGACGAACGATGATACTCGATTTTTTCGTTGATTGATAACCGTATGATACAGAGTCCGATATCGTCCGTCAAGATAAGAAATTTCAACATCCAGATCCGATACAACCGTCGACGATATATATAATGGTTGCGTTCGGGTAATTTTTTTAATTACGATTCGCCCGGCTCTCTTATCGTGCGTCGCAGGTCGTACAATAATCGCAAGAACTAGCAACGCAAACTTAACTTCCGAACGACTCGTAATGCGTAATTAGTGCAATATATAAAGGCCTCGCGAACGCAAATTACCTGCGAACAGTATCGAGTACAGGGAGTGGCCCAACGATTTTTGTGTCGATTCACGTGGTCAACGTTGCGAAAACATCACCGACAATCGTGTGATCGGTTATTCGCACTGATAATAACTCTCGCGATCGCGGCCAGTGATAACAACAGTGGCGGAGGTCTCTTTTTGACCTCCTTTCGAGGTAGCTAAACCGACTATATTTCCTATTTTCCGCAGAAAAATGAAGATCGTAGCGTTCGGGCTTAGCCTGTTCTGTATCCTTGTCTGGGCAGTTAAGACGAACGGTGATCGTAAGTTAATATCTATGTATTTCGCTTCTAGTTCTCTCTCTCTGGAATCTCTCTCTCTCTCTCTTTCTCTCTAGAAATATATCTCGTTTATACCATCATCTATTCTCTGATGCTATTTATCTTTCTACTCCTTTCAGTCTACTTCAATTTTTAATCATCTTATTTTTTTAGTTATCTCTACTTTCGAGCATGTGTGTTTGATAGAGATTTAGATGAGAGATCTACAGAGTGTCCCAAAACTAAACGATCAAACGTTACCAGTATATTTTATAAGTAGACACAAAAAAAAAAATATTATATAAAAACATTGATATGAAAACGTTTTATTATCACGTTACACTAAAAGAAAATATGTTTGTTTAATTTTCCACTTTAAAATATCGTCCTTCGGTTTTAATACAAACATTGTTGAGAGGTTGAGTCTAATACTACAAATTTCATGTTTATTTTGCCTTAGCTGAACGAATGCCAAGCTGATCTTCTCAATCTTACCACAAATTGATTCTTGTATAATACGCTTTTGCTTTTTTTTACCATTTCTCATAGATAAAAATCAATCTGTAATAAGAGATAACTGGAATCGACAGATTAGATAAATAGCGAAGATTTATTTTTACATTGTTATATATCAATATTGTTATCGTTTTCATGTTTAATACTTTTATCACAATTTTTAAAAACTAATATTCAGATAAAATTTTTTTCTTGTTTGTACCTATAAAATATATTGACAAAATTTGATCGTTTAATTTTAGAATATTTTATAAACATATCTGTATAAAGATAAGTAATATGTAGATGAGGATCAAATCTGTGCTGCTTTGTTTATGTCTTTAATTTCAGAGGGTCATCGTTTACATTGTAATTTTGTTTCGACTCGATGCTTGCTTTTAAAACTCTGTTCACCTACTTCCTATAAAATTGCTCCGTAAAATTACATGCTGTCTTTCTCCATTATCTTTACATTATTTTTCTCATCTCAGGCCATAATTAGGATATAGCCGTAATATATTTATTTAGAAATATATCTTATTATTATTATATATTTGTAATTTCACAGAGTTGTCATTTTGGTCGTACGTCGTAGCGGCATTAATGTTGCCGCTTTTACTTTTCCGTGCGTTTACTGGCTTATGTACGTTTCGTTAATGTTTTTAGTTATTGTTAATGTTTTTAATTATTCATATCGTGAGTTCAGTATCGTTTTATGTTTGCTTTTAATTATAGAAATAATTATATATTGCATAAACTTTTTAGAACTCATGTTTTTGCAGATGCGTACGTGGAACATGACGCGTTTGGATCTAATATGTTTGAAGAGTTCCTTGAAAAATTGAAGACCATAATGCAAACCGGAAATGACACGCTCGGAATTCCGGTGCTTGATCCATTCATCGCGGATCAGGTCGGACCGATCCTGATTGACGATGAAATGATAAAGTGCATATTGATTTGAGTTTTTTTTTGTTTAAGTAACACGTTTTAAGGAACACGACCGCCAACGCTTTAAATTAATATTTAAATTAAATTAAATTAATATACACATCTCCAGAAAAAAACAATATTCAAAAAAATATTCTGGCAATTACAAGTTTTTAATTAATATCTTTTACCTTATATATCGCCTTAAAAAACTGATTATTATCAGTGTGCATAGATTATATACATATATAATCTAACAAGAGAAAAGGGAGAGGAAAGAGATATTATTAAAGAATTTGATTTTGCTAGAGAGCTCGAGTGGATTAATTTAATGTGTATGTGATAATCAACATATTAAACAATATTTCATTATTAAACGTTATAATAAACGAAACTGCAAAGTTCATTTAACGGTGACTGACAATTTTTTAATGTTTTCGGTGTACCTTTAGATTGGACGCTCTTTTGACAAACGTCAAAGTGGACGGCCTGTCCGCATACAATGTCAACCATGGTGACTTCAAGATAATTGGTATGAAACTCATGATGAACCTTTCTTGGCCGTTGATAGTCGCGAGTACAAATTATGCCATGAAGGGTAAAGCCGACAATTTTGAAATTTACGGCAATGGCGAAATGGAGTGAGTATTGGCGAATAATTCTTTGAAACCGATATAATCTCGATGCGATGTCAAATTTCCGATACTTAAACACACACGAGAAAGGATTTCACCGTCAACCCGTAGGAAAATTATTTAAACTAAATCTGAATTTTAGCGAAATTGTTCCAATTTCAATTATCATTGTAATTTTACAATCTTATATACATATTTTTATTTTGTATAACAATAATATTTATATATCATCATTTAATATTAATATTTATATAATATCTACATTTCCATATCAAAATACAAACATTATAAATTTGTACTTAAACACGTTTCTTTTTGCACGCATAAATTAGAGAAACAAAAACAAACAAACTTTTTGGCAGAAATATTTTCTGAACTTTAAAATATATATAGACAACATTTTATTGTTAAATACTCTATTATTTTTAATAATTAAATTTCCATTTCCTCTCCCTCTCCCCTCTAATTATAACAGTACATGTCTTATCAATATTGATTTAAAAATTCAGGTCATGAGAGATTATGGGATATATGTATTCAATTTCCAGAATATCCCCACAGGACCTTTCTTTCGAAACGGAAATTGGTTTTACAATGGACGGCAAATATCTTAAAGTGAGGAGCATGGAATTGAAGATTTTCTTGAAAGCGCTTAATGTAAGTAACTATCAATTCTTTGTCTTCTCTTTTCTTGATTATAATCCTCAAGGTTCGCAAATGGAGCCAATATTCAATCGTTGCACATAAAATATCGATTTTGCGCGCGCGTTAATAATTTTCAAGTAATTATTAAAAAAAAATACATATAATTAAAAACTTTAAAAAAATACTTTTCACATTTTATATAAGTAACAAAAAGTTGCTACCGTAATCTCTCGTTTTGATTAAATGTAGGAAATCTATATATAAGTTAAGGGAAAAAGAGAGAGAGAGAGAAATAGAAAATCATAAAAACATTTTTTCAGCTTCATATTCCGGATATTAAATTTTTCTGTACTGCAAATATTCGTTTCCTTTTCTTTTACATTAATACCATTCTATGAAGTTTATATTACGAATTTTTTCTACTATTTTAATATTATAAAATAACATTACACGAATCTATTGTTTAAATCAGCCGTTACGAAAAAGATCATAATTTTAAAATTCAGTCAGCTTCACCATGTGATTTGTCTTCTCGCGATATGTACATAAATGTATAATATTAAAAGATCATCATTGATAAAGGGAGTTATTGATCTCTCTTTACAAAAAATGGTTTAAAAAAAAGGGAGTTCATACATAATTAAAAATAATTATTACCAGAAACATCTCAAAAGAAAGAACACTTTTTAAATTGAAATTTAATTTTTTATATCCTTATGTGCCAAACAAGCAGTGCAGTAGTATAGATAGTATATACTGTAGATAGCAAAATTGAAAAGCAAGAGAAACAGTTTTCTGTAATTTTTCTCAGAAAAGAATTGATCAGCACGATTCAAACGATTCGACGATTGATTCTCAACGTCTTCGACAAATTTATCGCAAACATTTCATAAAGTTTGAAAAATATCTTTGTTTCATACAGACTTAAAATTATCAAAATATGAAATTTTGTATGCAACGATTTAATAGAAAAAAAATTGACTCACATCATTTATATAATTTTTAAATAATTTCTTCTATTTCTCAATCGTTCTTATTTTTTTCGACAGAAATTTTAATTGATCTTTTTTCATATTATTCACTTTTAATTTTTTTAACGAAAAATTAAGCCTTTTTTTATTGTTTGCAGTTTCACGCGACAGGTCTTTTCGACGATGACGAATTGTCCGAACTACTAAGCGCTGTAATCTCCGATATGATGCCTCAGCTGATCGAGGATTATCATGACACGATTACAGGCAAACTTATTCCTCTCGTCACGCAGAAGCTCAACGCTTTTCTGTCTACTATGACGCTAGCAGAGCTATTGAGATTAATAGGTCTTTAGTATCAGTTTTTTTCGTCATAAGTATGTCATTCTCACTGTCATTCGATCAATCGTTTATACAGTCGCGACACTTAATCGATTAAGCGATGAGATGTATGATATAATGCGTGTGAATAGCATGTATTGATAATATCAAGAAGAAATAGAAATGCATACTAATTACTGGAAATTTATATTTTTTGAATAAATATAGTTTTTAAAATTGCTAACAAAAGTAATATAATTATTACCGTAATTATTAATAAAAAATTACAAGTGTGAGAGAATATTTTTTTTTCTTTTATTGTAATTTTTTTCTACCCTGCATTATTTTTGGCTACACACGACATATTATCGTATTAAAAATTTTAAAAGAACATGTCTTATAATGCATGTCAAAAGGCGCGGAAAAAAGTGTACCTATATACTTCGTATTATCTATAATATATTAATTCTATACAAAATTATTCTGAGAAAACGTATACGCATATATTTTTTTACTCACTGTATATATTAAAGAATGAGTTTTAGATAGTTATGATGTACACATACTACGCGCATTAAACTTGATAACACTCTCGATAACATGATAGATTGCATGAACGATGCGTTCGCGTATAAAGATCTGATTCTCGCAACAGTCGAGACGGTATTAACAAGCGAGACAATATCTTAAGAAATGTGTAAGAGTGGGAATAGCGAGCGAGGCCGCGCTTTGTTTATAATATGTTTGTAAACAATAGGACTCGCTTGTGTATCCCCGCTCTCCTATCCCTTGTATACAGTTATTCACGTATATTTTAAGATATTTTCTTGCTTCATATCATTTCAATTACTGCGAGGATTAGAATTTGAGAGACTCCCATAACATCGAATGATCTATTTCATGCAAACGAATAATGCAATAAAATCTATGTTTAAAAAAGAAAGGGAGAGAGAAAGAGACAAAGCAAAAAAGTGATTGACAAATTTGTTAATCTAAATAAATTTGGTTTATCAATTTTGGTATCTAAATCAATTACTCCTTTTTTCCCTCGATTAGAATAATTTTTTATTATCAAAATTTTAAGTTTTACGAAAATTGAGAATCTGATTTTGGCAAAAATCTTTCGTATACACGAGCATCAAATATTTATAAGTACTATTAAAATAAAAAAAATTGCGTGAACGACGCGTTCGAATATAAAGATCTGATTCTCGCGACAGTCGAGACGGTAATAACAAGCGAGACAATATCTTAAGAAATGTGTAAGAATGGGGGTAGCGAGCGAGGCCGCGCTTTGTTTATAATATGATTGTAAACAATAGGGCTCGCTTGTGTATCCCCTCTCTTCTACCTTATATACAGTGGTTCACGTATATTTTAAGATATTTTCTTGCTTCATATTATTTCAATTACTGTGAGGATATAGAACTTGAGAGACTTCCATAACACCATCGATCTATTTCATGCAAACGGATAATGCAATAAAATCTGTTTAAAAGAGAAAAAGAGAGAGAGAAAGAGATAGAGCAAAAAAGTGATTAGCAAATTTGTTAATCTAAATAAATTTGGTTTATTAATTTTGGTATCTAAATCAATTACTTCTTTTTCACCATTTTTGCTCGCTCGATCAGACTAATTTTTTATTATCAAAACTAAGTTTTACGAAGAGTCGAGAATCCGATTTTGGCAAAAATCTCTCATATGCACGAGCGTTAAATATTTAGGAGTACTATTAGAATAGAAAAATTGCATGAATGACGCGTTCACGTTGAAAGATCTGATACTCGCGATAGTCGAGACGGTATTAACAAGCGAGACAATATCTTAAGAAATGTGTAAGAGTGGGAGAAGCGAGCGAGGCCGCGCTTTGTTTATAATACGCTATGTTTATAAACGATAGGGCTCGCTTGTGTATCCCCTCTCTCCTACCTCGTATACAGTGTTTTACGTATATTTTAAGATATTTTCTTGTTTCATATCATTTCAATTACTGTGAGGATATAGAACTTGAGAGACTTCCATAACACTTTTCGATCTATTTCATGCAAACAGATAATGCAATAAAATCTATGTTTAAAAGAGAAAGGGAGAGAGAAAGAGACAGAGCAAAAAACTGATTGGCAAATTTGTTAATCTAAATAAATTTGGTTTATTAATTTTAGTATCTAAATCAATTATTTCTTTTTCACCATTTTTTCTCCCTCGATCAGAATAATTTTTTATTATCAAAATTCCAAGTTTTACGAAGACTCGAGAATCCGATCATTTACAAAAATCTTTCATATACACGAGCGTCAAATATTTAGAAGTATTATTAGAATAGAAAAATCATCAAAAAAATTGCTAAATAAAAAAAAAATAATTTAACCAGTTTCGATATAACAAAGATAATATAAAGTATTTTTTATTGAATATGTTATGCGCGATTTACGATTGCATTAAGTTCTCAAATTACTTTACAACATTTCTACATTACCCCAATTAATTGCGTTACGAGTTCCTTCTATAATCTAATCTGATTGTTACGATAAAACGTGGGACTCGCTATGATATTAAACGAAACCAAAAAATAAAATAATTTCAAAGTAAAATTCATTGGAATTACATAATTATACCCGATTGACTCAAATTCCGTAAACTCAAATCGTCAGGAGACTCTTGTTAATGTCAATTTCAAAATCACAAACAGCCCAATTTAATTTTTTATATGAAAATGATAAAAGATGTATACCATCGCCCGTGCGTGTCTTCATCCAATTTTCCAAGATCAGATCCCTCGGATTGGACAAAAATCAAATCGTTGTACGACATCGTGATCGATAAGAAATCTTAATGTCTAGGCGGATCCCGATATCGATGACATACAAACCAAGCCATTTTCTATAAATATGCCCACATTCTTTTTCGAGTCGCAGTCTCGTTCGCATTATTTTTTTAATTATAATTGCAAACAGCGTGAATTATACCATCAACGTACGAACTCAACAAAGATTTGTATTAATTAGTACGTAGAAGATCATTTTAATATCTGCAAATATAAGTATCCAAATAATATTAATTTTCCGGAGTACATACGAATATATTAGATTGAACGGAAAGTTCGTTCCATTTTTTACTAAGAGATGAAGACCCAAAAAACGGCATGAACTTTGCGTTCACGAATTGCAATAACTTTGATCTCATTTGAAAGATAATTTAATTCTCTACAACTTTTGTTTCGGTATTTTTTGTTAAAAAACGCATACTTTCCCTGATATTTGTAAAAATGTAAAAAATATCCGTGATTTCACAGGTTTTTGGGCACTAATTTTTTAAGGAAGCATTTTTCGACCCATGTATATCGGAAACTTTTTGTTCGGAATTAAATTATCTTTCAAATGAGATCAAAGTGATTGTAGTTTGCTCCATAGGAGTTCATGCCGTTTTTTGGGTCTTCATCTCTTAGTAAAAAACGGAACCTCAAATGTACCAAAAAGTGTTTTTTCGGCTATTGACGGTTATTCGAAAACTTATGGAACGAACTATTGGATTGAACGGAAAGTTCGTTCCGTTTTTTACTAAGAGATGAAGACCGAAAAAACGGCACAAACTTTTCGTTCAACCCAATATATACACTAGTCGCTCGATAAATTTGCAAATTTTTTTCTCAAGCATTTACGTCAAATGTTGATTTTTCGTATTTCGGAAATTCGCGTAATCCTGATGTCCTCGGCAAATTCATTATCTTTAAGAATGTGATATCTCGAAAGAAAGAGACTGTTTTCTATTTCGACCGTGTATTCTATTTTGTGCAGAAAAATGAACCACATGGCATTTGGGCTTATCCTGATCTGTTGCCTTGCTGGGGCAATTGAAACGAACGGTTATCGTAAGTAAATATCAATATTTCTTTTCTCACTGTACTCTCATTTGTTCTAGTATTTTTCCCTAAAAATATATTGAATATTTTTCTAAAGATGCGTCACACTCCCTTACATTTATTTTTCTTTGTCTATTTTCTTTTCTATCGTCTTTAATTTATATAACTTTTAAGCTCACTTTAATTTTATTTTTTAATCGTTTTTTTTTTTTTTTTTTTTTTTTTTTTTTTTTTTTTTTAAAAATAAACAAATACGTATTAAAGAGATACAACGTTTTTTAGTAATCTACTTATAAATAGTTCACTTTTATGCAGCCTATTCTTTAATAATATCAACTTCCGCGATTCTACAGATATTTCATTATCTCACGTAATGTTGTGCTTTCGTAAAATATTTTTGAAAATAATATTTTTTTTTGCTAACTATAAAAATTTTCACTTTTATTCGCAGATGTGTACACAAAACGTACTATATTTGAGAAGTTTCTCGAAAAATTTAAGATCGTATTAAAGACTGGAAACGAGTCACTCGGAATTCCGGTCTTTGATCCATTCACCGCGGAACGGATACCAATCAAATTAAACGAGGAAATAATAAAGTGCGTGCTATTTTAATATTTTCAATTAAATGATATTTACAATCGCTGTGAAAAAACAAAATCATATTTGTATAATATATCGCAACGATCTCGTAAAAAGAGAGAGAGATTGTCATTGTCTGTCTTGTCAATTTTATCAGCCTAGAATTTACGATTCTCATTTACCCTCCTGCTAATAAAAGTACCATTTTTTGTTTATAATATATTTTTTTCTAATTACTGTAAAAAAGTCTATAAAATCACGTTAAAGCAATAGAGCAAAATACCTTGATTATAATAATTTACGATATTTTTCATGTTTCTCCGCAATCCTCAGCTTGGAAGCGTTTTTGACAAACGTCAATATGCGTGGTTTATCCGAGTACAAAATCATAGACGGTAATTTTCAAATAATTGGTGTAAAGTTTAACATGAATCTTTCCTGGCCGTTGATAACCGCGAGTACCGATTACGTCATGAAAGGCTATGCCGATTCTTACGAAATTTACGGAAACGGTGAAATAAAGTGAGTATTCCTTCTTTTTTTCTCCCGAGAATCGAACGTATGTAATTTCGGCGAGTTCAGTTTAAGTATACATTTTCCCAGATATATTCTTAATTTATCTTATTTCATTGTTATATATCCGTTTTTTTACATAATAAATTTTTACATTTGGTATCATAATAGGACTTTCTGTCAATTCTTTGATTCAAAAATAAACATAAAGTAAAAACTTGAAGCTAAGAATATGCGTATTTTATGTGTTCTATTTTTAGCCTATCCGCGAAGGATTTCAATTTGGAGACGGAAATTAGTTTCATAGTGAACGGAGAACATTTTAAAGTGAGAAATATGAAATTAAAACTTTCTCTGAGAGAGCTAGATGTAAGTATAACCGGGTGTTCCATAAAATTCAGATCTTCGACGTTTCGTACGCGATACGGTTCGATAGAAACTGTTGATCGACAATTTATTTGATAATTATAAACTAATGCTTTCACCTTTCATTTTCCCATTTTTTTCTTATTTTTAATTAATTTTTCTCACTATTCGCAGTTTCACGTGACAGGCCTGTTCAACGATGACGAGGTGTCCAATGTACTGAGTGCCGTGATATCCGATATGGCACCTGAGTTGCTCGAAGATGTCACACTTATGGACAGACTTACCTTTCTTGCGATAAAAAAAATTGACGCTTTTCTCTCCACTAAGACATTTGGAGAATTATTGAAACTATTGGGAATGTTTGATTGATAGCGTCAGTCTTTTCATCATGTCGATATTGCATTCGTGTTTAAATTTTAAAAATTAAATAAATTAAGTATATATAAAACTATTTTTAAAAAATTAGTTCGGTCACTCCAATATAAAAATAATTTGTCCATTCTTGGCATCATTAAGTCACTAATATTGTATACAAATATAATTTCAAACAAATCAAGTTATTAAATTTAAACTTTCTTTCATTAAATATTTCAGAGTTAATAAAGCTTTATATATAATTATATATTAAATACATTTTTTGAATATTCACACTTCAATTTATATAATAGTATTAATTTTTCCTGTACGAATTTTTTTATCGTTACATATAAAATGCAAAAAATTAATTTTTATTATAAGTCTAAGATTTAATTAATTTTTGTAATATTCCGAGAATTTGTATCTAGCCAAATATTAAAACAAAAACAAAACAGCATACCTATATGCTTCGTATTATCTATAATATATTTATTCTATACAAAATTATTCTAGGAAAACGTATATGAATATAATTTTTTACTCCCTGTATATATTGAAGAATGAGTTTTAGATAGTTGTATAGATGATATACACATACTACGCGTATTAAACTTGAGATTCTCGATAATATGATAGATTGCGTGAACGATGCGTACGCGTATAAAAATCTGATTCTCGCGATAGTCGAGACGGTATCAACAAGCGAGACAATATCTTAAGAAATGTATAAGAATGGGGGTAGCGAGCGAGGCCGCGTTTTGTTTATAATATGTTTGTAAACAGTAGGGCTCGCTTGTGTATCCCCTCTCTCCTCCCTTGTATACATCAGTGTTTCACGTATACTTTAAGATATTTTCTTGCTTCATATCATTTCAACTACTGTGAGGATTAGAATTTGAGAAACTCCCATAACACCATCGTTCGCCTTATTATAAAGAAATAGAAATCATTGCCAATACGTTTTTTTAATGTTAATTTTCACAGATTACCTGCGTTCATCAAACTGCTCGCAATGATAATTAATAAAGAAGCAATAATTTCCCAAATTAAACAATAATATTTAAACAAATATAAATAGTAAATTTAGTTACCAGTACTGCCGTAGCACTGCTATTGTATTGCCGGTAGATTGCAGTTGCATTCCAATTAAAACGTTATTAATATCATACAAAATTAGAGATTTTCCTAAATATTCTCTACATTATAATTTAGAGAAAATTAAATTTCAATTAATTATATACATATATTTTGAGTGAAAAAATATATATATATATATATTTA